GAGATTTAGAGAAGTTCACCCTCAGTATCTGCAGGGGAATAGTAAGGTTCAGGGCACCCCTTGGAAGTCAGAATCCTGGGACACTCAAGTGGCACGGTATTTGCGTAGAATCTAGCACATCTTCCTGACACTGTAGCTTGGCTAGTTTACTTATAAGAGCTAATGCAATGTAAATGTGATATAAATTGTTGTTATACTAGTTGTATTGTTTAGGAAATAACTGAGATAAAAGAAATAAACAGGGAAAAGGGAGAGAAAAGGGAAGGAAAGTGCGGCTGGTGTTATGAATCTAAAAGGCCCACTGTTATCCGGAGCTGGGGCCTCTGCAGACACTGAGGTGCTGTGGAGATCTACCCTCAAGATGTATGGAGGCATCTTCAGACATGTATTTCAGAATAAGAAGAATAAGCTTATTGGGGCTGGGGCTCAGCAGTAGAGTTCTTGCCTAGTACATGCAAAGCCCTGGGTTTGATCCTAAGCACCATATAAAAATAAATAAAATAAAGGTATTGTGCCTAATTACAACTAAATAAATAAATAAGATTATTGAAGGGATAGAAAAAGGGGAAGGGGACACTCTGGAAAGTAATCTCTAGTCGTAGTTTTCCTCCAGAAAGTCACTCCCTAGCTTCTGAGAAAGCTACAAATCTTAGAATTGCTGAAAATTCACTCATGTATGAAAATTGCCTTCTTTTGATTAAAGCCTTTGTGCAGTGTTCACTACTTTCAGATTAAACAAAGATGATATATTTTAAGAAAAATCTATTGTAAGATGGGCCTGGTGGCACATGCCTGTAATCCCAGCAGCTCCAAGGGCTAAGGCAGGAGGTTGGCCAGTTCAAAGCCAGCCTCAGCAACTTGGTGCCACCCAGTCTCAAAATAAGACATAAAAAGGGCTAGGGATGCAGCTCAGTGGTGAAGCGCCTGGGTCCAATCCCTGGTATTTGTAGACAGAGGGCAAGATGCCAACCTGAAGATCCTGGGGAGGACCATCCTCCATAAACTGAGATCCATGATTGAAGAACTGCATTGACCAAGCTGGTGTCATTCCCAGGACTTCTCCCATGCCTCACCCCCACAATTCCCAGGCACACCACCCCCACCCAACCCCACCCTGAAGAATGTAGGCCTTCCCCTTTCACATTCTAATAAAGACCTTCCTCTTTGTTAAAATCTGAAGCTTCCTTAAATTCTTTTCTACCCAGGTTAGGGGCTTAGAAGGTTCCAGTAGAGGAATCCTCAGCCAGAGATACTCCCTTGAACTCCCTACAGTGACATTATGAGAAAGGAAAAAAAACCTATACATATTCAATAATCCGACGTTGGTTGAATGTGCAGATGCAGAGCTCTCAGATACACAGGGCTGACTGTACTAAGTTTTGTTGGTGACAGAAGAAAGGAACCCCAGACAGCAACCAATCCGCCACAGGTATTTCTTTTAAAATCATGATGCCTCTGGAAACCAGGGCCAGTTGCTCTTCACTCTGTGAAAATAGACAAGCATCTTACTTGTCTATTCAAAGATGTCTGTAGTTGGGCTGGGGCTGTAGCTCAGTGGCAAAGTGCTTGCCTAGCATGTGCGAGGCACTGGGTTGGATCCTCAGCACCACATAAAAATTAATAAAATAAAGACATTCTGTCCATCTACGGCTTAAAAAAAAAAGATGTCAGTAGTTATTAAGTTATATAATCAACTTTTTCATCTTAGGTAAATTGCCTTTTATTTTTGTTTTGATAAGTTTTGATTTATTATGTATATAAAAATGGATACAGATATACTGTGGAACCATCACTACAACCAAGATAAGGAAAATATTTAAACTTGCCTTAAAAAAAAAAAAAAAACTTAAGTTCCTATTGCCCATCACACCCAAAATTAATCTGAGATAGATCACAAATATAAAAGCTAAAGTTTTTTTTTTTTTGAAGAAAGCTTCCAGAATAAAACATAAGAGAATCTTCATAACCTTGGTATGGGTAGAGAAACACAGAAAATATTAACCATAGTGGGGCACAGTGGCACACACCTGTAATCCCAGTGACTCTGGAGGCTGGGGCAGGATGATCACAAGTTCCAGGTCTTTGCAATATAGCAAGACCCTGTCTCAAAATAAAAATTAAAAAGGGCTCGGATTATAGCTCAGTAGTAAAGCGTTAAATCCCCAGTAACCCACACACACAAAAATAAATAAATAAATAAAGGAAAAATACTAATCATGAAAAACGACTGACAACCTGAATTTAAGGCAAAATTTAAAACTTCTATTCCATTAAATATACCATTATGAAATATACCATTATGAAAATGAATAAAGAAGCCACATATTGGGCTGTGGCTGTGGCTCAGCGGTAGCGCACTTGCCCTGGCATGTGAGGCACTGGGTTCGATTCTAAGCACCATGTAAAATAAATAAAGGTCTGTCAACAACTTAAAAAAAAAAATTCTTTTAAAAGCCACATATTGGGGAAAATGTTCACAAAATATTTAACAGAGGATTGGTATCCAAAATTAATAAAGAGTTCCTACAAATCAATATGAAAAGGAGACAAAGACCCATTAAAAATGAGCAATATATTTCCCAAGAGGAGATATTTGGTCAATGAGTAAAGACTGGTGAGCAGGATGTAGAAAGGTGTAGTGTTCTTCAGTAGCCCTGCTCCCTAGCCAGAGGGCAGTCCTAACAATGTTCTCAGAAACTTAGTTTTGGATAATCAAATTATATTAAATATGAGAGAAACTCACTGTGGGGGGGAGGGGTTGGGGCTAGGATTGTGGCTCAGTGGTAGCACGTGCGAGGCCCTGGGTTGGATGCTCAGCACCACATAAAGATAAATAAATAAAGATATTGTGTCCAACAACAACTAAAAAATAAATATTAAAAAAGTCAAAAATTGTTTTGTGAAATGCAAAAGACTTTCAATGGATTCATGCAATTTCAATGTTCTTAATGCAAGCTTCTTACCCGTTTACCTAAAGCAGCATTCTTATACACATCTGCTGGAAAGCTTTCTAATTATTTTTCAAAAGGCCATATATTTTCAAATGCTAAGTAAATGCACACACACCAACAACTACTTCCCACAAAGAGCATGCTCAAACAGACAAAGCATGCTGAGTACTCTCCTTTTATCACACCAATACTGTCTGGTTGGAATATAGCCAACAACAGGGCTCAAGCAGATTTATCTTTCCTGTAGATCATGTAGTACATTTGCCTAATGCAGTGCCCTAGATTTTACAAATTACATTCACTGATGCACTTGCAAGTCTGCAGATTTGAACATTTTCAAGGAGGACACTAGACACTTATATAAAATAGTCTCCTTGATCATCAATAAAATAACTGTTTTGAAGCCACTTACCATCCTTTCACTATGATTTTAAATGTCTGTAAATAACTCCTTGGTTTTTAGAAAAGTCGGGGTTAAGCCAATACACTGAAGCTTAATCTGCATTCACACTGCTCCGTAAGAACCCACACAGACCAAAGATCAGTTTGAAAGCTTTTAAAGCTAAAAATTTCTGCTGCATGGCTATGCTAGCCATTGAACTAAAGGAAAGCTGAAACTATGAACAGCACAGTGAGCACCATGGGGGGGAGGGGCTCTGAAAATAACACAATTCGACATAATGTCCCTTATACAAAAAGTGACCAAGTATTACTTATGAGCCAACAAATACTGACTCATGCTGTAGTAGATAAGAATGCATTCTCATTGAAAAGTTCCACATTGCCATTTGACTCCCTTTTCCCCCAGTATTGGGAACAGAACCCAGGGGTGTTCCACACTAAGCTACATCCACAACTCTTTAAGTTTTTTTATTTTGAAGGTATCACTAAGTTACTGAGGCTTTCCTTGAACTGGCGACCCTCCTGCCTCAGATTCCTGAGTTGCTGGGATTACAGGCGTGCGTTACCGTGCTTGGATTTTAACTATCCTTTATAAGGCATTTCCTCGTGCTGCAGCGCTATTCACTGCAAAGTAGCTCGGGTCTAACTCTCATCATGATGTCACAAAATTCAAAATGCAGAGGAATCCGACTCAGTTGGTGCAGTCTAGGGTTGCCAACAATCACCCAACGGTGGCTTAGGACAGACTCCATCAGGTTTCCTCAGGGTCTCTAGAATCCACTGCTCCCCTTGGAAATAAGACTCTAAAAGTGCCTACCTAAAAACAAAAACAAAACAAACAAAAAGCCAATTCTGCCTGCTGTGCCTGTTGAGAAAAGGTAAAGGGATCACCTGTCCAGGGGCAGGAAAGAGGTGAATGGGTGTGTAAAATGGCTTCCCCGGCAGACCGAAACGCACTAAATTAAAAGCAAATGCCTTCCTAAAGTAAGGGCTTTAAAACAAACAGTGTCGGGTTCCCATTCACAAGGCAAACAAGAACTCCCAACCGTTTCAACGTGGATCCGGACCTGCAAAAGAGCGAACGTCCTGCACACCCGAAACGGTGCGCGCAGGGAGTTTGGGCTGCCGAATTTGCACCCGACCCTACAGGCACCTGAACTGCCCCAGGGACCCTGGACCCCCACCCCCCACTCCACTGCTGTCTTTACAAAATAACAAACCCTGCGGGGGTTAGGACGAAAGAGTTCTGCGTCTCCGAGCGCACTTTCACCCGCACCGTGAGACACACCGCAGCCCCGCGCGCGGAAGCCCGGCTCACCGCACCACCTCCCCCGGCCCGGACGCCGCCATCGCCGACGCCCCCATGACCCCTAATCGCGGGTCTGCGACCCCGGCGGTCTCGGCCTCCCCCCCGCCACAGGTTGGCCGAGCCCGGGGAACTGCAGCCAGGCTGGCCGGAGAATTAAGTTTCTAATAATATAACTTTAGGCGGATGAGCGCCGGCGTCACCCAACCCCGAGGCCGACCAACTTGGGGGCGTGCAAAGCGAGCTGAGGGCGCGGGCCGGGGTCCCGGGGCCCCGGTGCTGCCTCCCCGACGCCCGCGCCCGGCCCTGGCAGGTGCGTCCCGTCGCGTGGCCGCGCTCACCAGGTACCAGACGCCGAGAAGGATGGTGCCTGTGCGGACATGGCAGCACAGGCAGCAGCTGTTGGAATAGAACCGCGTCCAGGGCGCGACCATCTTCATCGCTCGGGCGGCGGGTGCAGTGACGCGAGCGCACCACCAAGTTTGGGAAAGCCGCGTTGCTCTCGGCCCTCCGCGCCGCTGCTGCCGGCTCCTCCGCCGCTCACGCTCCAGACCAGCTAACCCACTCGCCTGGCGCCGAGCTGCCCCGAAAGCTCCGAGAAGCTGCCGCGGCGGGACCGTGTGCTCGAAGGCTGCGGCGCGGGCAGGAGGATAGAGGGAGGGGCGGGGCGCCCCTAGTGTCACGTGACCGCGCCTGGGCTCGTGACGTCACCGCGGGTTCTTGCCAGCTGTGGGCGCTGAGATCCCGGAGTAAATAAATACATCATTGCTGCACCCTAGGCCCGTTCCAGAGTCTGCCTACAGTGGAGTTCCGGGCGTTGTGTCTTTCCTCTGGCTGTGGGTGTAACTTTTGTTAGGAATTCTAGATTCTAATGTGTATGTTGCGTTCCCCTCCCCCTTCAACTTCTGTCCTGCGGATAATCCATAGGTGCAATGCTATCACTGTGGTTATCTTATAAACTAGAGGAAGGAAAACTGCATGGTGTGATTCCAGTCAACTGCAGTACTTTGAACCACTACCGAACCCGCTGAGAGCAATTTGTCTCCACTTCCCAGCTCCAATTACCATGGTAGTAATCTTTTCCCAGAAAATAGAATGTGTGTCAAGGGCATCCTCGCTGTGCTTGGGTAGCATTTTTAATCATGACTGCAGCTCTAAARAAACAATCATCAAGCCAATTACTGCCTGGAGGTCTCTGCAAGACACAACAGAGTGTTAAGAGAATTGATAGGACTATAATTCCTGCTTTATTTTCTCTCAGCTGATTTTTTGTTTGTTATTTTTGTTGCTGTTGTTTATCTTGAAGGCCCTCATCCAAGGTTAGCCTCTGTGAAAGTCAAGAAACTCAGATCTCTGATAGGTTTTCAGCATGTGCAAAAGTTTAATTTCAGACTTGGAGCAAGGGGGGGGAGTTCAGTTTAAATTTCTTAAGGGTAGATTATGTAGGAAGACATATGATGTCAGATAAGGCTGTTAAGTGCTATACTGGCTGTTGCAGAACAGGCTGAACAAATGTCAGCTGCAGGGTGGGCTAAACACTCTGACACTCACCCTCACCTGTCTGGTTCCTTATCTTCTTGCCTCAAGTCTGAACACTCAACCCAACTCAAGGTTGAACACTCGACCCCCCACACCTATCTGGTGCCAGGGAAACCGACGTCTGACCCCTGCCCCGTCTGCCTGAAGGCAGAAAATGACACCCTTAGCAACTACTGTATGAGCCAAACATTGTGTGCCAGGCTATAAAAACTCTCTCCTGCCGGGCCCCGCCCTCCCCCAGTCTCTCCTCTC